TGCCTCAGGGCCCATGGGAGCTGCGAGGGGTGCGCACCCCAGCGCGGGGCGCTGGCCTCCTGGCGTTTCGCACTTGTCTCTTCTGGGTTGAGTCGTGGAGAGACCATTTATTTGCCTGTGGGTATTCAAGACTGAACCTTGACTCGCCTTCCCGACCTTTGATGCCCGAGGTCCCTCACGTCCTTTGCGTTGGGAAGAGAAGTTGCAGGTGCGCTTGAGATGGGACCTGTCTGATCGCTGTGGATTAGATCGGTGGATTTGTAGCGTTCTGTTGAATACAAGTGAGGTCGTTCACTTCAGGACTCCTCAGGCCCCCTGGAGCTCAACTCCGTTCTGATACAATGTATCGGAGAGTGATACTCCGATGGGTTAATAACGTGCTGTGTGTTCCAAGCTAGACCTTGGCTCACATTGTAGCATGTCATGTCATAGTTTAAAACGGTGTCTTTGAAATATTTTTTGTCCAGAAACATCCAACACGTTACCTGCACTCCACTTTCACTTTGACATTTGTCACAGCCGCCTCCTGCAGAACGTAAAGTTGTCTAAGTAGCAGAAGAGCAGGTGGCGCAGGACGTGTAGCAACGCTGTAGGGAAAGCAGAAACTCGAAAGTGGCAGCAGTCTAGCTTTCTTCATTTTTAAGATTTAAGATGATCCCGGTTCCACTTTATCTTGGTAACATAAACGTGATGCTTTTTTTAGTGTATGTGTGGGGGCGGCAGGGGGACGCTTTCATTTCATATGGGCTATCAGGGCAGTAAGATTGAATCTTAGAAGCAACGAATATATGTATTTCTGTTTTGTAAATTACTACTATTTGTAGGATTTATTTCTAACCTTTCAAGTGTACTAGACACAGTTCCACTATTAAAAAGTGGTAATTATGTAGTGTCTGATTGCTTACAACAACTTAAATTTTGAAGATTTTACTAGTGATTTTAGTTTATAGGGTCAGCTTCACTCTCTCTCCCTGTTTAAATCTACATGCATCTGGCTACTTTTAGGGTTACTGTTCCTTTGCTAATTATATAAAATTATGCTGTTTTGTCCTTGCTTAGTGCATTGGCCTTTTAATTGTTTCTTGTCTCAGGCTTCTGTGTATTGTTTCCATGTGGAGAGAGTGAGCTGCACTTTTTCCTTCCTTGCTGTTCAGTAAAACTCTCTCTGTGGAGGGAAGTGTTCCTTCTGTACCATGAAGTATGGTAGCCCTGGCCAACTTGGGATTTTGAGTACTTGAACTAAAACTGCAGCAATGGAGAAGTACGTTTTAAATTTACTTTAAAAAGCCACCTGTGGCTAGGCCTACGTGTTTGGACACCACAGGTTTTCATCATTAGTGCCCCAGGAATCCTCCGTTGTTTTGTGTCTGTCCATTATAGTGCCGAGCTGTTCTTGGTCACAGCAGTCACTGCTATTGTATGCTAGTGGCACCTTTGCAGCTCTGGGCTACAGTTTACGTGAGGACAAGGGCATATCTGTTTACTTTACCCAGTATTCCCAGGACTTGGTAAGAAACACTCAATAAATATTACTTGAATGCATACCTGAACTTGAGAACAGGTATCATACCTTTGATGTTCTCTTTGGGCCTAGGGCTATGTATCTAATGCTGTCAATGCCTGTTTAATGATTGAACTCATCTTTTGGAAGTAGCAAATAGAAAGATCTTTAGAGGTATGTCTTTGACATGTTTACTTGCTTAGTTTTGTTTTTGAATCTCATGAAATACTTGTATACTTTCAATGCCTCTCTAATGAGTGAGCAGATGTTTTGTAGGTAGCAAATAAAAGAGTTGTTGGAGTTGTGCTTTTTACATGCTTATTTCATTAGCCTCGTTTGGGAATCTTGTGAAAATAAGGGTTCATGACAAATTGCTATGGGAAATTGAATGAAAGTGCCTCACGACTCCAACACACGTGGGCACACAGGTGTGGCTTGGGTCTCAAGGATGCTGTCTTGAGCTTTATCCCACAGAAATCTGAGGGAGTCTCCTGGGCTTGGTGCAGCTCTTTCTTGGGGTCCTTCTACCCCTGAACCACACTGACAAAGTTGGTGGACACTTATTACCAATTTTGTGTTGTGGCAGAACCAGGGATCCTTGAAAATCATGAGATTTTAGAGCCACATGATTTTGCTCCAAGGTAACTAGGGATGAGGGAGTAGGACAGAATTCCCATATAATTAAAACTATGGGGAATTTGCTTCTAGTTACTATAACTATTACTATAACTATACTCAGTTAATTAGGACTGACTTCTTATCCTAGGCTTACCTTGTATAGTCAGTTTTCACTGGTTAACTATAAGGGGAATTAGAGTAAAAGTATGTATTCAACCTAGATCATTCATTATACTTCTGCATCGGACCAAGATTCCAGGTGTTACAGGGCTTCAGGTCCAGAAGTTCCTCTAGGGAAGCGCTGTGAGAATATAAGAAAGTTTATAAGTGTATAGTTTTCTTTGTGGATGAAAGGTAAAATGTTGTTAGTTTGTTTGTTTCATGAAGGAAAAGAAATGGGATTAAGGAAAAGTGCCATGAAGATATAAGATACAAAGAATGTTCACTGCATTAGTCTGATAATATTGTAACTTCTCTGGCTTGAAGTATGTGAAATAATGGAGTTGATTACATCTCATTGGGTGAATTATCTCCTCTTCAGACCTAGGGTGTGAATATTTGTTAAACCTGAGTGAGACACAGTTTTGCTCCTGTGGTATCTGGTAGTTGTGGAAGATGCATTTATCATCTTTAAGCATCTCAGCAGTCTATAAGGAAATTTAAGATGCCGTGGGAATCACATTTTAAAAATATTTTTAATAAGACATCCAATCCTTTGAAAGGGAAGTCATTTGGTGGCATTTCTTGACTGATTTAGAAAGATAACCACTTTTCCTGAAAAATGAATGAAGAGTATTAAAAATATTTCTGAGTTCCAAAGCGTGATTAATTAATCCCCTAAAACACAACTTTAAGCATGCCACTCCCCTTTAAAACATCAGTAGCTCTCTCCAGTGTGCATGGAATTGTGGTTTGGTCTTTGGTCAAGTATTTAAGAACTCCTCAGGGTGGCCCCCGAATCCTACTACAGTCTTATCGCTTACTGCTTTTCCAGCAGTATTCCAAGTTTCAAACTGGTGTCCGTTTCATATGCTCCCCTTTTTAACTTCTCCCCTAAGTTTTTCCTACAGATCTTTTGAAACTTACCAGTGGCCACACCTTTTTCAGAGTATCATTTCTGATTTTTGGAAACTCCTTTAGCAAATTTTCTGGTACTCGTGTGATTGAATACATTCCTTATATCCATAATTATATTTTCAGTAATTTTAAAGTACATTATATATATATATATTATTACATTATATATATTATATATATGTTATGACATTATATATATTCGTTTTAATTGAGTTTATTGGTACATTTTAAGTATACAGTACAGTTACATTCACTATTGGGATCTTGTACCTTTACATGACAGGTCTCGGTTCTCATTTTTTCCTCTTGTCCCTGCCCTCCCTTCACCCCCTCTTCCCCTTAAGTACATTATAAACTAGCTAACGTACAAGGGACATCTGTTACTCATTTTTGTAATCTCTGAAACTAGGGTAGTGTTTTGTCCATAGTGATTCCGTAATAGATACTTACTAAACTTTCTGTTCCTTTCTTCTAAAGAAAGCCTCATACCTGTGTAGAATATTGCCCAGAATTACTGCTAAGAAAGTAAGGGCAGCGAGTAAGAATCCAGAGTTAGAGAGGGCCTCTAGTGGGAAGGAGGGCTGTATTCGTGGGACTGGGGATGGTGTTTGGGAAGGTCACTGCTCCTGTCTTAACACCAATTCCTCGTTCTTGTCATTTTCTTATTTATGGGACGAGGTGAATGTTACAATGATTCAGAATATTAATTTTAGTATCAACCAAAGTTAGAAAAGCTGTAAAGTAATATCAGGTGGATTAGTTTATGTAATCTATACCTGTCCATGTAAATGCACACTCCTTGAGGAATAAGAAAGAGCTAAAACCTGTATGTTTTGTAAAAACATGAGTGGAATTGGGAAGAAACAAGTTAACTCAGAAGTGACAGTCTCCTTGGAGGGTGGGTGGGATGGTAAAGGTGATTATTAGTGTCGGATTGGCTAACCAAGTATAATCGAGCACACACTGAGTAATAGCTAGCAGGATCTGCTACTAGATTAAGCTGTTATTAACTAATTTTCTCTATTCTTCCTACTGAAAATAATTAAAATAATTTAATTTTATTTTGTAATGTGATTTTCTGCTTATAGTTAAAAACAGACATAAGGATTCATAATATTTCAGACTTGAAAGATCTGATTCTGAAGAAACTGAAGTTTTTAGCTTCATAAGTTTAGTTTAACTTAGAATTTTCTCTGATTTCTATGTTATTTCTGAGATGTAGACTAGGGGATAGCATGAGTTTTTAAAAAAAATTTTAAGTGCTGAGTGTTTGGGGGATAAAGAGGTAGCATGAAACATAGTATCTGTTTTTTGGGTTTTTTTGGTACCGGGGATGGAACTCAGGACCTTATGCTTGCAAGGCAGGAGCTGGAACCACTGGGCTAAATCCCCAGCCCAAGAGGTAGCATGAGTGATAGAATTTAAAAGGTATGGCATTCCTTCCTCTACTAAGATAGAATAAACAGACCGTGCTCTGTTGTTAAGGGGAGGAATCTCAGTAAGCTCTTATACTTGTGGAAGTGCTGTGATTAATTTTCAGTAAAATTTTATGGAATATCAGAAAATATAGTGGAAACATTTTAAAGTAGATTATTTTCATGGATGAGAAACAGTCAGACCTCTGTCAGCATTCTGAGAAGTTAGACCCATCCACAAGGCTAATATGCCCTGTTACTTAGGAGGGGGCACCTGTTCAGATTAGCCCAGCATTTTATACATTTGCACCTGTACACTTTATTACTCTTGAGTTTTGTGTACAGATTAATTATATTGTTGATTATATGAGAAACATTGTGAAGCAGTGCATGCTTCTTCTTCTTCTTCTTCTTCTTCTTTTTTTTTTTTTTTTTTTTTTGTTTTTTTTTTGAGACAAGGTCTCTGATCTGGAACTCACTATGTAGCCCAGGCTGATCTCGAACTCACAACGATCCTTCTGCCTCAGCCTCCCAAGTGCTGGGATTACAGGCATGCGCCACCACACCCAGCAGTGCATGCTTCTTAAACAACAGTTTTTCCAGAGGATTTTTTTTTCTCTGTCGTGAGAGACTCTTGAATGTTGCAGTTGAAAATGTCAGTAGGTTAGACATTAAAAGGCCTGTAGGATTTTGTAATTAAAATAATCATCGTACCTTGCACACAGGAAAGTAGAAATGCTTTTTCCTTCCCCTTTCTCTTTATAGGTGGCTTTCTAGAAGATGACCATAGAAGACCTTCCAGATTTTCCATTAGAAGGAAATCCTTTGCTTGGAAGATACCCATTTTTATTTTCAGGTTCTGAAACACCAGTTATCTTTTCCATTTCTGCAGCACCAATGCCTTCAGACTGTGGTATGTTAAGTATCTGTTTTCTCTGCATTGGTGACTTGACTTGTGTCTTATCCCCTCTTTACACTGATGTTTTCTCTGAAACCATTTGCTATGGGTTTTATAAAGATGGGTGACAAAGCTTTCCTTTTTAAAAAATACAATTGCTTATTGCATTTTCTGCCTCTTCAACTAAATGGTTTATATCTGCTGTCAGCATTTTTTAAGGTAAAAATGTTAATTTTAGGTGCCATGATGGATTTAGAGGATTTTGTTTTTAGAATGTACTGATGCTTAGATATCTCGCAGTCTTCTGCTATTGATGTATTTATTTAGTTAAATATGTGGACTTACTAAAAAGCCATGTATTAGGCCAAGATCGTAAGAGACTTTTCCCTGGAATGTGGCATGAGATTGGTTCCTGTTTAAATTGGTCCATGTAATTCTTCTTTGTAAAATGTAAATTTAGAAGTATTCTGGTTTTTGTCTATTTTGGCTTATTTTCCTAGGAACATATTTTATCAGATAATTGATAATGTATAAAAGAAAATGAGGAGGTAAAGTTGATAGAATTGTTATATTTCAGATTAAGAGTTTGTCAGGTAAAATGTTGGGTTGTCATTTCAAATCATCTTTGGAGATAGGGATAATACAATTTTAAAATATTAGTCGATATAAAGTTATTAGATTGGGAATTTGTCTTTTTATTCATACCCATTCTATTACTTACTTTTTTCCATATGTCCTACTTTTTTGTATTCAGATTTTATAGTTACCTGTAGCAGTCATCAAAGTATTACCTAAATACCAGAGTATCTTTTTGTTTTGTTTTGTTTTGTTTTGTTTTTGTTTTTGGTACCAGGGATTGAACTCGGAACCTTGTGCTTGTGAAGCAGTAGTGGCACCCCTAAGTTCAGTACCAAAGCATCTTAATCCTAGGAGTTATTTGCAACTTTTACATAAGTTGACTGGGTTTATTTTCAGATATCATAAAGTCTGTTATGGATGTGGGGGCTTGAACTAAACCACACTGTACATTGTGTGTAGCACTTATTCTATCTTGAATTAGAATTTTCTTAGCCTGGGCTACATAGTGAGTTCCAGGTCAGTCTCAACTACATAGTGAGACCCTGTCTCAAAAAAAACAAAAACAAAAAACAAAACAAAAAAAAAGGTCTTATTTTGCTTCCTAGACTGTAGGTTTTTGGAATGAGTAGCAGTCATATTTTATTTTTACTTTTCTCATAATGACTAAGACAGTCATTTATTGAGGTTAGTTGTTCAGTGTTTCTTGGATAAATATATTGAATGAAAGGTGGTAATGGATATTGACCCCTTAGTATGGCTGAATTTAAGCATTGGTTATGATCTTGGAGTGACATGGTCCTTGAATCTGTGTAGGACTGTAGTTCAGATTTCTCCACACAGCTCCCACTGTGGAAACTCCATTTGCAGAATAACTGACAGGTGGCCATTTAGCCTCTTGCCTCTTCAATAATGAGAAACTAATGAAATAGTCAATTTCATTGTTAAAAAGCTTTAGTTATAATAAAGTTATTTTTGACTATAACTCAAAATATGTTTTCCTGATGTACCTGGAAGCTGTAATGCTAAGTGAAGTAAATCAGATACATGAGCTTAAATATTGCATTGTTATGTGAGAAACACAAAGTATAGATAAATTGAAGAGCAAGATAAACAATATATAATAGGAAAGAAGGAGATGGAGCTTTTGCAAAAGGAAAGTGGTCCAAGAAATGGAGGGTAGGGAAGAGAAAGGGGATGAATAAAGAATTAAGATGTATTATTACGTGTACCAACTCCCCAAGGTGAATATAATGATTATGTACTCCAAACATGCAGTAATAAAAAAAAAGTCAAAAGATGTCTTCCTGAGACTTCAGCCAATGTGGTATGTGGAAAAAACATTTCTTTATATGATAGCCTTCAAATACTTGCATATAATTTGAGCATTTTTTTTAGACTGTACTTCCTTCAGCTACATGTTGCTAGCTCTGTCACTACTCCCTTGTCAAGACATCAAGGCTCTCTTTTTGAAAGGTTTTTTTTTTTTTTTTTTGGTATGGGGCTGGAACTTGGGACCTTGCCCCTGCGAAGCAGTCAGTGGAACCACTGAGCTAAATCCCCAGCCCATCCAGACTCTTTGCATCCTGCTTGTTTCCTTAGTAATCTAAGGTCAGAGTCTTCTTAAAATGTGTCATGCAGAATTACATTTTTTGGGCAAGCATTTGTCAAGGGCCTCTTAGGTGCTGAGTACATTCCTGTGTGCTGGGGATGCTGCAATAACCAAGACAGATCTCCTAGGTAACAAGTAGATAAACTAAATGAGTAGATTGTGGTGCATTTGATGGAGAAAAAGAGGGTGTGGTAGTGGAAAATCATGGTGGTAGGGTTGCTATGCTAGATGAGTGGTCATCTGAAGAATCAGAAGAAGCTGTAATTAGAAGAGCCTGGGGAGAAGAGATCTAGAAAAAATGGATAATTAAAGGCACAGATTTGGGGAAAAACTGTTGAGAATTGATGGAAGGCCTCTGAGGCTGAGAAGCTAAGTGTTTAAGGGGCAGAGTAGGAGGAGATGATGTTTGAGAGTAAGACAAGAGTCACATCATGCAAGAGCACACAGATCTTGTTCAGAATTTGTATGTGAGATGCTCTAATGAGACTAAACCCAAGAAACATAACATCCAGTCCACACAAAACCATAGCAGAGGGCTGTAGGCCCCACGTTGACCCTATAGGACTATATACTGTCTGTACACAGAGACTTTTGGAGATTTTGTTGTGAAATATATTCACAGCCAGTTCCCACGGAATACTTATTACATGTATTATAAATACCAGTGCTTCATTATTGCTTTTGCCTAAATAGTGACTTATCTAAAGAAATTTACATAATTTGAAAATCTTATTTCCCTGGGAAGTTACCATTTCTAGCATTCTTTATTCTTTGTACAAACCCAGATTTCTATGACACCATTGTCCTTCTGCCTGAAGGACTTCCTTTAACTGTCTTATCAATGCAGATCTGCAAGTGATGAATCTTCTCAGTATTTTATATTGGAAAACATCTTCATTCCACCTTCTTTTTTGAAAAATGTATTTTCAAGGTACAGAGTTCTAGGTTGACAATTTTCTTTCAACACTAAGTGATGAGAATGGCTTTTGTTACTAATGTTTTCCCTTTTGCATTCTTTCTGACGGGGAATGTGATGTCATTGCGATCAGTTTTATGTCTTCTTTCTCCCCCCGCTATTTTAAGATTTTCTTTTTATTAGTGGTTTTGGGCACATTTTACTATGCTGTGTGTTGCTATAATTTTATTTATATTCTTGTGCTTGAGGTCTGTTGAGGTGCTTAGACCTGTGAGTTTCAGTACTTCAAGTTTGGGAAATCAAAATTCATATCTTTTATTTTAGATATTTTTTCTATTCTCTCATTTTTAAGAGACCTGAGCTACATGTATATTAGATTGCTTAAAGTCGTCCCAAAGCTCACTGATACTTTTTTTCATACGTTAGAACCTCTTTCTCTGTGTTTCATTTTGGATAGTTGTGTTGCTCTGTCTTCAAGTTCATTAATTGTTTCATCGACAGTGTCTAATTAGATACTGATCTCATTCAATGAAGTTTTTATTTCAAATGAAGTTTCATCTCTAAAGTTTGTATTTGGTCTTTTTCATCTCAAAGTTTTATTTAAGTCAGTTTTATTTTTTGTCTTTTTTAAAATAAATTGTCCATTTCTTTAAACTTTGAACATTAAGATAGAATTATAGTGTCTTTTAGTGTCCTTTTCTATTAGTTATAGTATCTGTTAACTCTAGTTATATTTCAACTTGTTATTTCCCAGGTTATAAGTCCTACTTTCCTCTTTCCTTGCATGTTTGGTGATCTTTAATTGAATGCTTGAAATTGTGAATTTTAACTTGTTGGGGGCTAGATATTTTTGTTTTCTTGTAAATATTTTTGAGCTTTGTTCTGGGGCTAGATATTCCCTACTACTCAGTAGTCTACTCATTGCCTTGTGAATTATGAGAAGATGATGATTAGGTTTTCTAGTGGGAAGAGGGACTAATCCCTGTAATTTATCTTGGTTTGTCTTCTTGCCTCAAAACATGAGCTGAGTACTTGAAGAGGCACCTCTGCAGGTCTCTGTGATTCTCTTTAAATGGACCTGTCTTCTTTCTGTTATTCTGCCCTGTGACTTCTTAATTTTATTTCACAGTGTCCTGAGCAGTTGTAGGACTCACTTTATTGTACCCCTTCCTGAATGATCATTGTCTTTCATTGCCACAGTGTCTTGAAATCATTGCTTATTTTCTATGGTATTTTGGTTGTTTCAGAAGAAAGGGCAAACTTGGCCCATTACTCAATCTTGACTTGAAGCAGACATCTTCCCCATTTTCTCCCCACCCCACTTTCCTTTGATTAAAATATTTCTCTGTGTAGAAGCTTACAATCTGAATGTAGTTGGCTATATTAATAGGTTGTACTAGAGCATAGGCATTATGCAATAATGAGGGATCATTATAGCAAAATGAGGGACATTCTGGCTTAAATCCTAGTAAGCCACTTACCAGTTGTGTGATCTTGGGCAAATTGCTTATTTTTTCTGTCACTTTGTTCTTCAATAAAATAAGAATAATAATTGTACCTCAAATGGTTATTATTATGAAGATTAAATCAGTTAAGATGCATAAAGTTCATAGTGCTGGTGATTAGCCCCAAACTCATTTTGTCAGTGCTGAAATAAAGCACTCAGACACCAACAAGGCATGTTTACTTCTGCAGAAGGGTCTGCTATACCCCTAAGGTGAGGTAGCAAGCGCACAGTCAGCAACAGGCTCCCTTCATATGCTAATGAGATGCACCTGACCTTTTTTCTATAGGCTCCATTGTAGGTTTACAGTCTGTCCCAATTGGCTAGTCTGGGTGGTGTGAGGAGAAGGCCTGAATGGTTGCCAGGCAGGGTTGCTAAAGAGGGTTGGGGTAATGGGGAACTGAATG